AGTGAAGATAATGGCCTTAGGAGTTACATAGGTTATAATGGGAGTTACATAGGTTACATAAGTTACAATGGGAGTTACATATGTTACATATGTTACAAAGGGAGTTACATATGTTACATAGGTTACAAAGGGAGTAATGGAGGAATTAAGAATGAAATACATTGATGGATAACCAATACTAATGGATGATGTAGAAGTCATCCATACCAATGTTCATTCTTATAACTCCAAAATAAAGCAATTTAATATTGTTAAATATCAATATTAAAATGCTAATAACCTAACAATATATTCGTAAGTGAAATATACAAACAAACCCCCCTACCCACCCACCCACCCATAGAAAGCAAAACTATAGCTGTGAAGCGAAATTAGCGAAACTATCTATAAAAGTTTATTATGTCTATTATGTTTACTATTTATAAAATTCTCAATAATTAATAAAAAAAAATTAATTCCCTGTTTAAAAAGGAAAAGGAAAAACTTACCTATATAAGGTCTTACCAACAGATAATTAAACAACTAAATTAATAGTCAAAATCCTTAATTAACAAATGAGTAAATTTTCTGATGTAGAATCTTAGGTCCCTAATCTATTACATGTTATTTCTTTTAATTTGTAGTAATAGAAATGCTACCACCTCAAAATAAGGGGAAAACATATCAGCCAAATTTATTTTATATATATATATATATATATATATATATATATATGTGTGTGTGTGTTAAACTTTTAATGTTGTACAATCCTACTCAATATATATATATTCAAATTATATTTCATTGACAAGTGGGTAAATGAATTATAAAAGTGACAGCCTATCCCACATGATTATATTTCATCTAATTCCAACTTGGGTTGCCAGTAGATCCCTAATAAAAATGAAAATAAATTATGGGCAAAAATCATATTGTATATATTAATTTAGTATCTTAAATGCATTATTTAAGTGATATTCTAGTAAACTAACCAAGGATTATATATGTTCCTTTAATATATAACACATTTTTTTAAAAGTATAGCAGCACATTAGCATCAACAAGAGAGGCCTCAAATAGCTTAACAACTTGTTTGGATGGTTGTTATATTGTCGACATTTCATCATATTATATTATATTGTATTTATTTGGTGAATACAAATTACAATTAATATCATATTAACAATTTAAAAATGATAAGTCAATATAAAAAGTAGAGTACGATAGAGAGGATAGAGTCGTAATAAATGATTGATTCCGAAAGACAATCAGTTCAAGTAACGCACACATAGCAAAATAGTTTGTAAAAGAATATAAAAAGATAAAGAAGTCATAACAAAGTATACATAAATCATTGCATAACATTCATGCAAAAAGAAACAATAACCAAAAAAATAATGTGATACGTAAAGCATAAATAATATTCTCTTTTTTAAAAAAAAAAAATGATCCATTTTCTTTTTAGTCTGTTTAAATAAGAATGTCATTTTTATTTTTTTAGTAATATTTTAATTTCAACTTTTCACGTGACATGTGTAAGGTTATAAGATTAAAAGATAATTTTATATATTTGATATAACTTTAACTTAGAATCAAAAGATTAAAATATTTTTTTATTTTTTTAAGTTTGTGCCAAGTTAAACTAGACCACTCTTTTAAAACGCAGAAAATAACAAAAAACTAAAAGGACAAAATAGGCATTGCACAAAATTCAAGAGAAAGAATGTTTCTAGTCAAAAGTAAAAAGGCAGAATTCAATTTTAAACTTTAAAAAATTAAAAAATATGAAGAAAAAAAAAGAGAGGGAAAATACAAAAGTACCCCTCAATCTATGTCTTAAATTCAGATACACACTTATACTATATGAAAGTACTATTATTTTTTGAATTTATTTTATAAATAACTTTTCTTTTCCTTTTCGACCTATGTGACACTAATTTTAAAAAAAAATCAATATGCACGAGGCCCCAAAAGATAGTGTCACATAGATCGAAAATGGTAAAAGATTATTTATAAAATAAATTAGGGGAATAATAAGACTTTCATATAATATAAATGTATCTTTTAAAATTTCGGACATAAGTTAATGGATATTTATGCATTTTTTAAAAAAAAACTAATTTTCACTTATTTAAGTTTTGGAATATACTTTAGCATATTTTTTTGGTTAAAAACTTGTTTCTAAACTCACATAAACACTCATATATTATAAGTGAGCCCAAAAAGAAACAAAAAACAAGAATGAACAAACAATATTCAAACATGAAAAGACAAGGCCATATTTTAACATTCAAATGGAAATTACCTGTATTTGCATATGGTCTAAGTTGATCCTGTCCCCATTATCAAGCAGAAAGATAAACTTTGAAGAACCCCATTTCCATTTATAGAAAAAAGAAAGGTAAAAAGATTTCAACTTTGGGATTTTCAAGAATGTAAATCTTGATTCTGCTGATAAAGTTTTGTTCTTTGATAAGTTTTAAGTCAACCCCATTTATTGAATTGATATGTTGAATCTTAATTTGTAGTGGAATTTGATAAATCAAGATTTTTTATTTTTCAGAAGGTAAAGACTCAATTTTGGATTTTTCAAGAATCTGATGAGTATAGCCAAGGGTTGAAGTAGTTGTAAATCTTGATTCTTTGGAGAAGGATTTGTTCTTTGGTAAGTTTAAGATAAACCCCATTAGCTGAATTGATTTGGTGAGGTCAGTTTTTGATGTTTTGATTGTTGTTGTTCGATTTCTGTTACTATGTATTGTTGCTTGTACTTGTGTTACTTCTTTTTTTTGACTGTTGAGCCGAGGGTCTGAGGAGCATAGAGTGTAAGCAGAATTTTGGTAGTTTCAAGATAACCCCATAAGCTTAATTGATATGCTGAGGTCATTTTTTGATATCTTGATTGTTGTCCTTCGATTTCTATTACTATCTGTTGTTACTTGTACTTCTATTACTTCTTTTTTCGACTGCTGATCTGAGAGTCTGCAGGATTTGGTAACTTCAAGATAACCTCATTAGCTGAATTGATTTGCTGAGGTCAATTTTTGATGTCTTGATTGTTGTTGTTCGATTTCTATTACTATCTGTTGTTGCTTGTACTTCTTTTTCTCGACTGTTGAGCCAAGGGTCTGAGGAGCCTATAGAGAGTACGCAGAATTTTGGTAATTTCAAGATAACACAATTAGCTGAAATGATATCCTGAGGTCAATTTTGAAGTCTTCATTCTTGTAGTTCGAGTTCTGGTAGTCTCTGTTGTTGTTTGTACTTCTATTACTTATTTTTCTCGATTGTTGAGCTGAGGATCTGAGGAGCATAAAGTGTAGCAGAATTTGGTAATTCCGAGATAACCCCTTTAGCTGAGTTGATTTGTTGTGCTCAATTTAAAGTCTTTGATTCTTGTACTTTCTTTACTTATTTTTCTGGACTGTTGAGCCTAGGGTCTATCGGAAATAGGCTCTCCACCTCTGTTGTAGGGGTAAATTCTGCTAAACTCTATGCTTCTTAGTCCCCACTTTGTGCGATTACACTGGATATGTCGTTTTAATTTAGAAGAGGAATTTGACACACCGAGATTTTTTGATTTTTGTCTTTTCAGAAGATGGTTTTCAGAAGAATTCTTGTTTTGATGATGGGATGTCTGGGATGTGCTGATCAGACAACAGAACAAAATGCTAATAATAATATGGAATCCAAGTCATCAGTTGTAGATGAATCTGCTATTACTACTCTTAGAGTCAGACTTAGTGATGGGAGGTACCTGGCTTATAGAGAAAGAGGAGTACCCAAGAACAAGTCAAAATACAGCATCATTCTTGTTCATGGATTTGGCAGCTCCAAAGAAATGAACTTTATGGCTTCTGATGTAAACACAAATAACTCTCTCTCTATATATGTCTCTTTGAATCTTTTTTTTGTTTTTGACTGTGGTATTCGGATGAGCTTTCACACACCTCAACTAGTTCCATGGGATTAGGTAACTCTGTTCACCAAGATTAGAATAAATTGAAAGAATCACCTAGTGTTTTTGTCTCTGTTGGGAATTGAACTTGAGACCGACCCCGTGACTCTCAACCACTTCATTGGCCACTAGTACACCCTTGGAAGCCTATCTCTTTGAAACTTGAAATCACTTTTTTTTTTTAAAAAAAAGGTTAGTTAAGGATCAAAGTGATTTAGTGCTGACAATTGGGTGAATAATATGAAAAAATAAGCTCAGTGGGGTGATAGGACACTGGGGTTATAGGACACTTATATAGTTTAAGTTTGTAGCTGAGAGTTTTCCCTAGTTTGAGTGTGTTTGTTTGTATGCCGTATCCCAAGAAATGATTCAAAATGTTGGTTGATGCAAAGGGTGTCACCACGTCAGTAATGCAATGATCCCATGAGTGCTCCGAAGTTTAGCATTCTTGGACGAGAGTAGTAATAGGATGGGTAAGATGCTAAGAGGTCCTTGTTTTGCATCCTTCACTGACCTCAATTAGTTTGAGATTGAACTGTAGTTAATTGATTCCCTACCCCCTCGAAACAAGGTTGACTGGCTTGATTATTGCTTTAAGTCAATTTACTGACATCGAAAGGCCAAACAAATAATCCAAACGAGAAAATCATAACTTCAAAAATCATCATTACAATAAACTCATTGAAGCCACGTGGCCGACCCCCTAAATTTTTCTTATAGATCCGCAATCACGTTAAAGTTTCTGGTGTTGTTTAGCATTTGTAATTCCTTCTTTTGGTTAGGATTTCTTGCAGGAAATCATTTTCCGGTCTGTTTTCAATCGAAGAAATGACATTATTGAATCTGCATAATACCATTGAGAATGTTCTAATAGTACTTTAGATCTCAGGAACTCCTGGATGGAATGGAGATATACCTCCTGATATACGACAGAGCTGGATACGGAGAGAGTGATCCAAATCCAAAACGATCCGTTAAAAGTGAAGCATCTGATATCGAAGAGTTAGCTGATCAGTTGCAATTAGGATCTAAGTATTATGTTATTGGCGTGTCGTTGGGATGTTACCCTGCTTGGAGCTGCATCAAACGCATTCCTCAAAAGTATAACAAAACTCGCTTCACATGAATTATAGATTTCTAGCTTTTGTTGTCAATTGACAAACATGCTGCTGCAGGCTTGGAGGAGTGGCTCTAATAGTCCCGTTTATAAATTACAAGTGGCGCTCGCTACCTGATGATCTCACGAAGGATGATTACAGGAAACAACTCTGCCGGCTTATGCTTTTGCTCACATGTTATACCCCGGGGCTATTACATTGGTGGTTCACTCAAAAAATGTTCCCATCAGCTACTGTTCTTGAAGGAAATCCTAAATTTTTTTGTGACAAAGACTTGGCCGTCTTGAAGAATACAGACGGATATCAATTGTTCACTCAGGTAAACTTCATCAGCTATGACCAAACAAAGAAAAGGAAATAATGTACTCACACAACCAGCTTTCTTAACGGAAATTTGGTTAGTTATACTTGTTTAAGTTGACTCGGTAGTGATACGAGCAGTTAAGCCTTCCTTGGCCAGTCCCGTGAGCTTTACTGATTTTGATTTCATACTAGTGTGTAGTAGTATAAGGACTATTCTGATTTCTGGTTTGTGACACATTTTATGTCTATTGACAGGACGGGATAAGGAAACGAAGGGTATTTGACTCCCTTCGTCGTGACTTTATTGTGGCGTTTAGCAAGTGGGATTTTGATCCACTGGAGCTAAGTAACCCGTATCCACAAAACGAAAGCTCTGTTCACATATGGCAAGGTTACGAGGACAAGGTTGTGCCCGTTCACTTACAAAGACACGTCTCGCAAACGCTCCCTTGGATTCGGTATCATGAAGTTCCTGATGGTGGGCATTTGCTTGTGTATGATACTGCTGTGTGTGAAGCTGTCTTGAAATCACTTTTGCTTGGAGAAGATCCTCCATTGTACAGGCCTAAATTAGGTGTTTGAGTCTAAGTTGCGCGGACTCTTCACTTTCATTGCCGCACTCGTGTTGGACTCTCAAAAAACACACTACTTTTGGAGAATCCGACTCGCACCGATTGACATATTTGAAGAGTCCAAACAACATAGGTTTGAGTATTAGTTCATTCATTGTACCCAAAGATGACCGTTGTAAGTTACTCCATCTGTATCAATTTGTTTGTATTACTTTCTTTATAGTCTGTATAAAACGTAGTCTCTTTCCTTTTTGGGCGATTCGGTAATTTCAATTTTTTTACATGGCATATGTAAGGTGACATGATTAAAGGGTATTTTGATACAATTCAACCAAGGGTGGACATGGTATAGTAGACACCGAGTACCGTACGAAACCGAATTTTTTGACAATGCAATGACATGATATTTGGTATGTATGTCTCAAAAAGTTTGGTATTCAGTACGGTATTTGATATTTATGAAAAAAATATTGAAATACCAAATACCATTCCGAAATGTATAGTTACACATAATATTCATGTATATGTAGCTATATAATACTAGCAAATATACTAAATAATAACTAATTATTTAGATGTTGAAATTTTGACCACTCTATCTTATCTTGAATGTGCTGTTCGAGTGTTTGATTAATAAGAGAATTGTTTGTACTTCGAATACTTTTACATGTGTAAAGTATTAGTATTACATAATTTGAGACATTTCTTGAAAAGCCAAAGTCATTATTCTTTATTTTATATATATATATATATATATATATATATATATATATATATATATATATATATATATATATATATATATAAAAGTTGAAGTTGACTACACTATGGTAACCGACTTACAGTACATGCAAACTATCGAAATTTAACTTCAACATACCAATCACACTAAATTAATTTGGTATGATAATGGTATAACACTTATAAAATCGAAATTATCGAACTTAACTCTTCAACATCATATCATGCTCATTCCTACATTTAATATATCTTTAATCTAAAATTATAAAATTTATCATTTTTTTCACATTATTAATTCTATATATTAACTCTACATTTAATATATCTTCAACATACCATTTTTTTTAATATGAATGATTTTGGGGGCTATTATAACCTATTTATCAACAGAAGAAATTAAAATCATCCTAATTAAGGATACAATGTAAATAATTTCATTTATATATATATATATATAAACAAAATTATCAGCATGAATGATACCAATAGAATATATGATACTGATTTAGTGTCAGTTAAACGAAATTAGTTGAAGATATATAATTTAATTATTAGTGGATATGAATGTTAATAGGTGTATATTTGTAATTATTTTACTTTTATGGGGTAATCGCTTAATTTCCCTTAAAATCATCCTATTTGTGCCAATCACCCTATTTGGATTAGTCTAATTTTAGACCCAAGGAAAATTTCATATATGACAAACTGAATTTATGAAATAACATTATATGTGTATAGTTTACATAATTATATTCTATGAGTATAGTTTAATTTGTTATTTGACTTTTAATTTGTATAAAATGTTTTTTTTTTAAAAAAAATTGTACTAATTTTACTTTTCCATTAAATAGTAACAGTTGCCCTAAATACGATAACAAACATTTACATAATCCCATGATTTAAGCTACACATTCAAAATTACATATTTTCTCAAAAAAAAAATTTGTAGCGACAGAAAGACTATACAAACTTGTTTACGGGAAACTAAACTCTTTAATGTATATAAAGTTTATATACGAATGTAAATAAATTGAATATAAATTGTTTAATTTGTACCAAATTGTAAAGTAATTATTATATTCATATACAAGTAATTGTATATGAATAAAATAAAAATATGAATATAGTATTTGTATGTACACAAATTCCTCAAGCAGTTTTCTATAAAAATAACGTAAAATACAAAAAAATTATGATTAAAAACAAATTATTGCACAAATAATTGTACCAAAATTTTTAAAGTAGTTACTTATATACATATACAAAAAATTGTATATGTATAAAAAAAAGTTAATATACGAATATAAATAAAATGCATAATTCGATGTACAAACAACTATATTCACAATATTCAAGCAAGTAATTCTTACGGAAAGAGATGAATCTTTCATTCTGATTTTGAAGAACTTGTAATTTAATAAGAAAAATAGATTTTTTAAAAAAATGTATATGAAAAAGTAAGAAGTATAATACATATACAATTGTTGATGAATGAATTTTTTTTTTAAAAAAAATAGATTCATGGGTTGATTTTGGCGATTACCTGCGAGAATTAAGAGCAAAACAAATGAAGAACGTGAAATCTCCCATAGTTTTATACAAATTTTTCTTCCAAACTATACAAAAATTAAAGTTTGTTTAGCCAAACTTCTAAAAAATGTCCCAAAATTGAAGGGATCAATTGGTTCTGGTGTTTTATCTATGATCTAACGAATAAACTATAACACAAGTGTGATACACATTCTCAATGTATATTTTTTAAAAAAGCATAACTCAATTTTGTAAATATTTTTTTGAGCTTGAAAAATCAATAAAAGTTTAATAATCAACTAGAGTTAACATTTTTAAAATTAAATTTTGAACTTAAACTTAATCATAAAAGCTATATCAAGATGTGAGAATTATTCAAATTATATCAAACAGACCTCTTAAAGAGCGATCGATGCAAAACACTTCATACACATCTCACCACCCATAACATTTTATAAAAGAAAATTTTCCTTTTTATGCATTTGTTGCTTTGATATCACCATTTTAATATATTATAAACTTGTTTGAAGCACGATCTTTTTATTTTAATAAACAAAAAGATATATTGTAATTTAATAAGCATCAGTACAAGTAAATGGCCGAGTATGGCTAGTAACGTCCGGGAAAGGAATTGGGATTACATTATACGACTTTTTTGGCCTAACATAAAGAGTTTCTACTTTATCTACTTCTGTTCTACTAGAAATAATCAACAGAGGAGCTATCAAAAATACGTAAAAAATATAAATATATATATTTTACCGATATATAAAGAATTATATTTCAACAATATAAGTCAACTAAGAGTGTGTAGGAGACAAGATCCATTGATCCAATCTAGCCATAATTAAATAATAAAATGGAAGCTACGCATAAATCTTGCCAATCCGTTAAGGAAGCTACAAGGTTCACTCTCTTAGAATTTGACCTAAAATATTTAATCTTACTCAAATATCTATGCACATTTATATTTACATAATAAGATTATTTATAGGGTAATTTTAAAATAATTTATGTTATGAACGAAGTTCATCCCAATGTGGATATTAACATCATATAAGTAGTTATTAGACCGACAAGAGTTATGGGCCGAGAACAAGCAATATGATTAGGTTAATTTAGGATTCAGGTTGAGTAGTGGACATGGAAACAGTTCCAAAAAAAAAGGATAGTGGTATGTAATTTAGAGATTATGCAAATTGTCGAGAGCAAAATGTCTAGTCCTCTCAATCCCTTTCTTTGAATCTATACTTCTCATCTCCCTTCTAATTATCTTTTATACAATACTTTTCTTTGTTAGTTTCATTTTCCGTTATAACTTCAAATTTAGTGATTTTAATATTTGAATGTTTCTATCGTGAAATAGTATTTGTTACAATTTATGATATGCCTTAATTGATAATTTATGATGACATATGTAGGGCTCCTTTCTTTTTTTTAATAATCGGTCTCAAAAAATATATATTTCTATATTTGATACTTCTTCTACCCAATGTTACCTCTTCAGTATTGCGATAAATAAAATAATAATTTTATTATATTAATTTTTGAATATAATAAATTTAATATTTTGATAAACGTATTCATAAAATTTAATATAAATTAACAATAAAGATCAATTAAAAACTAAGTTATAAATTTTATCTTGTTTTTCAAACTGGACAAATAAAAATTCACATCTATATTTAATATTGTAAAGTGTGAACAAGTAAAAAATAAATAGAAAAAGTAACAATTTAACTTTAAACAACTTACATCAGAAACAATAGTTTTTAAAGAAGTTCTTTCATTTTTTTATAACAAGAAAAACTCACGATCAATATCCTTTATATGTATACAAAATAAAACCCTCATTTTTATATAATAACTCGCAAACCACACCAAAAAAAATTTCCATGCAAATAGAGAGTTAAACAATCTTTATATATAACTTAGATCCAATATTGTCCATCTAATAAAACCTCAATACTTGCTACAAATTTCTGCATCATTCTTTTTTACCAATAGACAAAAGTTTATAAAATTGCCCACCACTTCTTGAGATCTATGCATGCATTAATTGCTTCATTCAATAAAACCTTAGCCTCTCAATATATATATATCACTAGTACATATATCATGGACTTAAGTCTTAAATAACCTTAAAAGAAAGAAAAAAAAAAGTTCAATTATTAGAGATGACAAATATTAGGGGATTGAGTTTAACCATTTTGTTAATTAGTGTTGTTTTAGCTTCTACCCTCCTACATGGAGCTTTTGGAAGTATTGACCCCTTTCAGGTAAGTATGGATTCAGGATTTAAGTTTTATATAATTTAGATTATCAATATATTATTTTTTTTATTTTAATTTATTTACCTTAATTTAAATTGTAATGAAAGTTTAGGAAAATTAATCTTTTTTTAAAAAAGTTTTCTTATATTATATTTGCAATACGTGAACTCAAAAATCTTTGAATCTTGTAATCTTAATAGAAAGGGCTATGAGGAGTTACTCCTACTAAATATTGTCTTTATTCGGGTAAAATTTACCCGCATCGGGTGTACACCAATCCAATACATATGCACCACGTGTTTAAAATTACAGTTCATGTTATCCAATCTTTATTAGTTAACATGTGTTTTATTTCATTAAATCACATAATAAAAGATTTTGGTGTAAATACTCGATGCGAATAAATTTTTTCCGTCTCGATTCCTAAATAAGTTAGTTTTTAACTTTTGCATTTTGTTTCAAAATAAAGTGATGTTTATATCATCAAAAAGACAATAATATTGTTCATTCAATTTTACCTTATTAAAATAAATAAAGTTTTACATAGTCAAGAAACTAAAACATATTTTTTTTCAAGGTATTTATAAAGAGAAAATTAATAAAAAAATACTTTTTTATTTTCCAGGAAGAAGTATATTTTCACGGGGTATACACAAGCTAAAAACACCATTTACTTAGAAACAAACGAAGCGTAAAAAGTAACAATATTTTTTTTAAAAAATAGATTGAAAATAACAGTGTTTATAATTTTCATGAAATTTAAATATATTCCACGTTAGAAATAATGAATTCAGATGAATCTGACTCTGTGTCTGTGCCCCTTATTGCAGGCAGCTTTAGTTCATTGCAATGCTGGCCCTATTGAAAAACAAAATTGTTGCAAAGCACTAAGTGTTGCTGTAAACAATGAGAGATTTTGCTGGTCTTCTTTGTTTGGACAGATTTTTGTTGCTGATCTTATTAATTGTCGTGTTATTCCAAAGTGCTAAAGTAAGTTAATTATATTACACTATATGTACTATATTGTTTAACGAAACAAAAAAGATTTTTCATATATATTAAAAGGGCCGGCCTAACTCGAGATATAATAGGGTTGGACTAAGATTTTTGGAGCCCATTTAAAAAAAAAAATTTTTTAGTCCGACCTGAATAAGTCTGCTAATTTGTGGGGCTTGAGAAATATTGGTAGGACTGTCATGTGGGTCCAATAAAAATTAATTAAAAATATAATATAATTATTAAAATATAAAAATAGAGTTCAAGCTCAAAACAACAGGTTAATATTTCTATTTAGATATTTATATTTTTAGTTGAAAAAAATTTAATAAATATTATAAAGACAATTTTATTTGTGGATTTGATTAACAAGTAGTAACATTAACATAATGTAATATTGTTTTGTCCATATTTAAATTATAATTTAATTTAATAATTATTAAAAAAAACATAATTTTTAAAAAAGTAGACTAGCCTGGCAAGCCTGTAGCCCACGTTCTTGTGGGTTACGCCAACCGTTTTCTGGCCCACGCAAAAAATGGGCTAGCTCGGCTTGACCCATAAAATGTCAAAGCCTGTATGAACTAGCTCAGATGGGATGAGTTAGACCATATTGACAGCTCTAATTAAAAATAGTTTTAAATGTGTTATTCTGAATAAATATTCATACTTATTAAGTCTGATTTTGATTTTATTTTATGTGCAGGTACTTGCCTAACAACAAAAGAATGTCAAACAAGAAATCAATTAGCTGGTGTTTTGACATTGATTTTCTACTATTTCTAGAGAGGGAAAAAAAAAACAAAGAATGAAAAGTTGAGTGTTATAGTTCTATATAATATTAATATTACCTCAATATTGAGTACTTAATTAGTTTGTGCAACTTTATGATGAATAAATGTGTTTTGGTACCAATTACATCGTGTAATTTGTCTTAAATAATATATTTTAACATGTTTTTTTTTTACCTCTCCGTAGAGCTTAGCTTTCACTATTTTGCTTCCTTGATGACTTAAGCTTACAATCTTAAGATTAGAAGCGAGAATTGATCAGGATACTTACTATCCGAATAGTTCTCTTAATAAAGACAATTTATTATTTAATCCTTGTATATAAAAGTGAGTATGATTACTAGAATATATATGTCCTCAGTTCAAAGAAAGTCAAAATTATTTCAATAAATATTTTTAAAAAGTTTAATTCAAGTCAAACTTTGGTAAATTGGGGTTATAAGTAATGATCCTCATAGACACTTCATAATTTTGTGTTTTGTCTTAATTAATTTTTTTTTTCGTAGCTTAAATGTGGTATTTGTGATCTTTGGAAATGGGTGATATAGTTCTAATGTAGTTGAATATGTTCTAAAAGAGGTTTTATCTTTGAAAAGTTGATAAGTTCGATTAAAACCGATATTTGAGTAAGAAGAGATCAAATAAATTTTCGATAATTTCGTTTAGGTCCAAAATGTGATTTTTGATTGGGATGAATGTGGATAGATCTCGTGAGGCTCGAGTGTGATACGGGCCCTTGGATCAGTTTCTAGTTAAGTAAAAAGAATAAGTTTGACCACGGTCAACTTTTGATCAAGTCGATATTATATTCGTGATTTAATGATTTCAACAAGTTCATAACGCATTTTACAAACAATACAGGAGAAACACATATTGTTAAAGATCACCAAGTTTACCTAGGTTTTATACCCAATAAAAGTCACCATATAAGAACGAAAAATTTATTAACAATCATAGAAACACCAACATGAGTAGAAACATGAACAAGAACATCAAGCGAATCATAAATTATATATAGACCCACCACAAAATAAATACACATAAGAGAAAATGGAACCTAGGTCGAATAAAATTTCGAAGTTGGGGTAGGTGCAACCATCTCCTGAAGTGGTGCCTCCAACTCATCCAGAAGCTAATTTGGATCACTAGATACCAATTGTAATCAAGTAATAACACGAAGAAAGAAAAAAGAAATTAGTTTTCCTATTGCCTATTAGCCTCTCGAAGAGCAGTACAAACATATTTGTACCATTCAAATCTACTAGACATGTTTTTATACAATGAAATTGACGAATCTAAGACTCTAATATCAATCTTGTCACAATCCAAACCCCTTGTGATTGACACACACTAATCCCTCGATGATAATCATATCTAACCAACTAAAACATGTTGTAACTAAGTCATTAGTCATTATTTAAAAGCTTTTAAGCAAGAAATGAGAGGTTCAACATGCTTTGTGTTCTATGTACAATGATTTCAATACAATTGTATAACCTATGTATCATATTAGTCTCATCTATCACTTATTTAATCACTCATATGTACACACTCGCTAAAGTAGGATCAACTACCTCTAAAGTACACACCTCTCGGATACGTCTCTACCGCTGAGTCGAAGTAACTTTGCGCTATTTTTGCAGATGTCGCGAAATAACTGAGTTAACTCTGGTGGAGGGCTCGGCCTAACAACCCCATTATTCCACAAGTAGGATAGAAGTGACCCGACTTGACGGTATTTGAGGATATGATGGATTGTCCTCTCCCAGCAAGAAAATGGATGTGCGTCTAACGCGCAACGGCTTTCGCGCTAGCTCAGTCCGTTGCTTGTTCGATCTGAAGGAATCAAAATTCCTACTTATTACTTATTGTCGCTCAGACAATTATTTTATTACTGATCAAGTAGCGTTTCGTGAATAATAATATAGAATATGTAATTCACCACACTAAGTCCAGAATAAACATTCTAAGCCCAATCACGAGCCCTTAAGAAATAAATGAATATAACAATGAATATTCATTTATTGTTATAATGAATATAACAAGTACATATTACAAACAAAAGCTTCAATAATTCACATCTTATTTATAAAAGCATTATCAACCCAACTGAAATTAATCACAAACTACGGCTAAAGACCAATCAATATGATTTATAGATTCACAACACACACGAGAATAATCAAAGTATAAAACTCTCGATAAAATATAACCTACCTCAACCAAACACTTGGACAAGCAAGATATTTCATGTGAGCCTTTCTTTCCTCAAAGTCACAAAATGCTCAAAATCTAAAACTAATAAATAGAATAATATTTCATCATATTATTTTTTATCAAAATAACCTTGACCATTCAAAACTCACTTAATTCTATCCTCTATCAAGGTATAAGTCATTAGTGGAGGGTTATATCATCATACAATAGTTTTTCCATCATAATAGTAGCCTAACAAATAGAGTTTCTACTTCATTTGCCCCTCTAAGGGAATTTTTTATGCCATAGGAATCATTTTAGGAAAATTACGCGGTTAATCAAAACTTATACTATTTAATTACTCATAATTGCTGCATTTTGTTATAATTACCACTCACGACTAACATTATACATTAATTATGTTGGTTGACTTCTTTGTATAATTAGTCATATTTGTATATGTATAATTCACCAGAATATACAAATACATATGTATAATATACAATTATCTAATCAATATACATATACAATTCACCCTCTCCCACTCTCTGCCTTCTCTTGCTCGCCTATCTCTTCTCTCCATTCTCTCCCAATCTCACTTGCTTTTTTTTATACAAACGAATGTGTATAATATACAATTATCTAACCAATATACATATACAATTCACCTCTCTCTCACTCTCTACCCTATCTCGCTCGCCTTTCTCCCATTCTCGATCGCCTCTCTCATCCCTCTCCCAATCTCGCCCGCCTCTCTCCTCTCTCTTCCAATCTCGCTTGCTAAATATACAAATACATATGTAATATACAATTATCTAATCAATATACATATACATTTCACCTCTCTCCCACATTTTGCCTCTTTCTGGCCTCTCGCCTCTCTCTCCCAGTCTCGCTCACCTCTCTCCTCCCTATAACATGTAGCTATGAATTGTAATTATCAGACTATAGCTATAAAGAGTAATTAGGCTAACTTTAGTGGCTATATGTGAAAGTTCCCTATTATTTTATGGTGTTCCAGGTCCCACAACATCATGAACAATAACTAGATTATCAATTTCATGCTAAGAATAATAAATTAACAACTTAAAATCAATGTGACCTCTAATCAGATCAATCCATATGCTTCCTCAAAAAAATCTAGGGTTTTAATCCATAATATCTCCATTAAGAATATCCCTTTCAATTTGAGGATGATATCGAATTACTAGATGAAATGGTTGACAAAAAAGACTTACCTCAAAAATGAAAATAGCCTTAGACCTAGAAAAATTACCTATTTTGAGTTATCTGGTTCGAATATTTTAAGTTATGACGAAGGACTTGGATAAAATTAATTTAAAACGTACATTCTGTCTCGTATCGTCTGCTACAACGATAATTACTTTTGCTACAGAGGAATCATTGTGTTGATCCTTGACACTTGAATCTATTTTCGCTATGGCGAACTAAAACTTGTTATGATGGTCTCATTGTAGAGAAATACCCAATTAATGCAATAAAAGCCCCTAACAAAAGTAGCTCGGGGGAGATAATGGAAACCCTATTCCAGAACATGTATTTTTCATTATAATAAACAGAACAACATAAAATGAATGTGTCAAGAACCAAAAATACTTGTTTTGAACTCTCTACTCAGACTTTGAGTCTCATATAGAGGTCTAAATCACTATGTTACTGTCATGACGCAAACTATTTAGACGTGATCTGGCGAATAGGATCCTAAAAGATTCCAAACAAGGCACTTAGCATAATCATAACACTAAGATGGACAAGATAAAGAAATAAAGAGGTAAATCTCGATATAAGTCTCTATACTTCAATGGCATACGATACCAAAATTAGAGTACAACAATCTCATATGAGAAAATATACTAAGTCTAGCATCAAGCCTTTATTGTGACTAGAACAAACCTTTAGCTCACAAAAGAAGTCTAAAATTAAAATGACGTGAAACTTGTTATTTGTAGTTTTGATGATGTAACAAACTCAGGGACCTTGTGAAGGTACCAGGTTCTCAACATGAACAGCTTGTTGACTGCCAGTTGGAGAAGGTACAGAAAGTTGGTGCACATTTCCCAACTGCGTCAGAAAAGTCAGACCTTTCCAACCAATGACATAAGTTTAAGGAAAGGGACTTGTCTATATAATGTCACTTTTCTTAACATTGTTCTTTAGTTTTTGCAACTTGAAAAAGTACACTCAAGAAATCTTGCAAAGGCTATAGAAAATCAAAGTGAAGAATTATTCAAGAACAACCAAAAACCCAGGCATATAGTGTGTAGTTGTTTGAGAATATATTCTTTTGGTCTTACATTGTAAACTGATCCTAAATCTATAAAGGAATCAGTGTGGTGGGTGTTGAAATTCTAAGTTGTCTAGAGTGATAGCTTAGTGGGTAATAACTTCTACTTAGGCTCATCGAGCAATAGAGTTATTGCTTGTTGGTGAGATTAAAATCTTTTTCTCACATTTGTGTAACTGGTTTTACTTTTGCTTGTGAAGATTAGTGAAACAGTTGTAAAAATCCTGTGAGACAGGTCGTGGTTTTACTCCCTTGAGCAAGGAGGTTTCCACGTAAAATTTATGTGTTGTTAAACTGCATTTGCTTTCTGTTATATTCTTGTTTGTGTGTCAAGGGACCTGGTCCATTGACTGATAGTGGATGCATAGATTCTAACAAAAGCAATAAAAAATAGGTCCTTGAATCATGAGAACTCACTAATCTGCTAGGAATGTTGAATCAATACGATCTATCTAAGGTTAAATGAAGAAATGCCAGACGCTATATTATGAAACAATATATATATATATATATATATATATATATATATATATA